CATTTAGGCTACTTCCTGGTATTCTTTCTGATATTACTGTATTAGCCAGGTGCTTCCATTTCAGGTGCCGTAGGTTGAAGTCCCCAAGCAGAATGATGTTCGGAGCTAGATTTGTGAGGTTTTCCAAGTCGTGTTCTATTTTCATTAGTTGGTCTTTAAACTGCTGAGGGTTTGCCTCCGGTAACTTATATACAAGGACAACAACTACATTTAGGATCTCTATTTTGACTATCAGCACTTCCACCATATCCTTTGAGGTGTTTAGCAGCTCAGTACAGATGAGTGTGTCTTTGATGTAGAGGCTGACCCCACCCTGAAGCCAGTGTTTCCTATCACATCTGAAGAGATTGTACTCTGAGATCCATATTTCACCATCGAGGTAGTCCTTTGTGTGAGTTTCCGTTAGGGCTGCAAACACTGCATTTGCCTCATGAAGGAGACCATCTATAAAGTGAACTTTGTTGGATTTGCGTGTTTTTATACCCTGGATGAACGCAAATAATAATGATGTTATCGTGTTAGTGGAAGTGCTGGATGCTTTACTTGGTGTTAATATCTGAGGGTCTTGTAAGGAGGCCACTGTGTTGCGTCCTCTCTAGCATTTGACCGAGTTGGTGGTAGAGTATGGACATTTTTAGCCATTCTTCTCCTCCTCCTCTTGCTAAAAAATTATCCCGGTCGATGGAGTAGTGGCTGTTTTCATAGTGGTAGTCTGTCGGTTTTATTCGCCTGGTACCTCTTATATGAAAAGCTGGACATTCAGCATTGAAGCACTCTTTCCTGTCCAAAGAGTTCTTGCAAATTTCTGGGTGAAAGAATTCACAGCTTTTGGTACATTTACCTGTATTGAGGAGGTTTCTGCACTTTCTAGGGTGATCGTATTTACATGTTCCATTTGTTCTTCCCGATTCCCCATGCTTACAGGTTGCCCATTTGTAATACCAACAGATTTTGGGGGCCTTATTTTGTTTGTTTCCCTTTGCCAGGGACCGCACTCTGCTGCGGTGTCCCCGACACTGTGCCCTGCTCCGGTGCCTGTGACACCGCGCTCTGCTCCGGGGCCTGTGACACCGCGCTCCGCTTAGGGGTCCCCGACTCCGCGCCCTGCTCAGGCGTCCCCGACTCCGCGCCGTGCTCAGGCGTCCCCGACTCCGCGCCGTGCTCAGGTGTCCTCGACTCCGCGCCCTGCTCAGGCGTCCCCGACTCCGCGCCCTGCTCAGGCGTCCCCGACTCCGCGCCCTGCTCAGACATCCCCGACTCCACGCCCTGCTCAGGCGCCGCTGCCACCGAGCTCTGTGCCACAGCTGGTTGTACCTTGGTGTCATGTACAGTTTGTTTGAAGACATTAGAAATTGCTATGCAGGCATTAATTAGTAATTCTCTGTTTTCGGCGGGAGTTTTATCCAGGATTTCCATCAACTTCAGAAAAATTACATCATCCTTTTTGCAGAGCCAGTACACAGAGTGGTCACTGGGACCATTTCTCCTTGAATTGCTAGTCATATTGGCACATTTTTTGTGTATGGCTGCTGAACAGAGTTGGCATTGAAAGCTCTGTTGGTAATCTACCTTCATGTTGTATTCTATGCACATTTTTATCAAAGCCATTTTTTGAACACTTCTGTTCAGTGGTGATGGTCTTACGAGGTCTTACAAGGTGGGGTGTTGACCGGTGTATACTGTATACAGTAGAATGTTCATAGTGTTCCATAAAATGTTAAATGATTTGTAACATTTTATGGAACCGACAGAGCGATTATGATCAAATCATAATCATGTTAAAATTTCACTAAAATTACAATATGTACAGTTGCACACACTATTTACCCAGTAACACACTGTATTACACACTCAGTACTTCGGAAGCGAGTAATAATCAATGAAGTACAGTACTCCATGGTACACAGCGTGACTTCGCTCTCAGTGCACCAGGCACATATATTTTTGCTTTCTGTTTCTTCATTCTGTGTGCTTGCAAATAACGCACTCACGTACACCCTTGGCTTTAGTACTTGTAGGCTGTATGTAGCCAAGCTTGTAAAGCATAAGGTAGTATTGAAAAGATTATAAGAAAAGATCAATTTGTAAGGTAGTTTTGAAAAGATCGCTTTGTATGGTCCCACACAGGAAGAGATCAAGCTTGCCTCAAAGAGTGTGCGTCAGTCAGAAAGAGATTCAGCGAGCCTCAAAGAGTGTCTATCAGTTAGGAAGAGATTCAGCTATTCTTGAAAATATCTTTGGAAAACACCACCATGGAAGCCACTAACACTGTTCATCTATGCTACTTGTATTAGATGCATCATCACTGAAAGCAGAAAACGATTCATCTATGTATCATCTAAATAAATTGGAGATAGCATAGGATTGCAAGAGTGACGCTCAGAGCTACAACTGGATATGCTCGCTGTATCGTCCTCATAGGTGCTGTATCACTTGCATCCGACCTTTGTGTTAGGTCCTTATTGTGCCTAGCTTCACCAATATTATGACCCTTATGTTCTTCAAACAATAAGGTTTGAATTTCACCGACTGAGCATTATCTTTCAACACTGCATCGGACAGGTGTTTGGGAGCCAGAGGCACGTGCACCACCCATGGTTGCTCATTCAGTACTAACCCAGCCAGCAGCCCTAGGGCATTCTGGGAATTTTTTCCAAGATGGCTGCCTCTCACTGGAGATCCTAAGAGTCCATTTCATAAACAACAAACCTCGTACACATTTAGAATTGGTACCGAAAATTCAAAAAGAGTTTTCTTGGTTGGCGCAGTTTCCCGCCGACCGAGAATACTTGGTTGGCGCAGTTAAGTGGCTAACCTTTAGACCACGCAATACATATATAGCTGATGTGAGTAACTTTACCGATACCGCGCAATACATCAATAGCTGATTGAGTGTCTAGTGTTAGATTTTAAATGCCCCGTGTAGGATAGGGGTAGTCATCGACGAGCCGCACCCGACCACAAACAAATGCCACCTGGGAAAAAAATCCAGCATAGACCTCCATTGAGTACAGGCCTCAGCTACCCGGCAGACACCATGGCGAGCGCATCACATTCCACCAACCGACCCCCCACTCAATGAAGCGTTCATCGCAACCTCTGAGGATGAAATTAATTAGAATTTGTTCCCGGATGGTGATGAATCTGATATTGATGATTCCGACATGAATCATGACTACACACAGCCCTCAGACTTGGATACGACCGACGATGAGAGTGAACATGCTGGTTCCACGAGGGCTAGGCCAAGCATCTCGCCCATGCCTCCTCGCCCTCACTCGACCCCACTTCATGCCAGACCACACAGTTCATGTGCTACTTTGCAAGATATTGATATTTTTGGTCGAGGAGTCTGAGGAAGGTGAATCATTTTCTGGTTTTAGTGACTTAGAATCGGAAAACGGTTTCAGTGCAGCTAGTGCCAGTGGAGTGTGTGGTATTGCGAAGGGACATTTTGTCACGTCAGCATCATCTGGCCCAGCCATGCGGCACCGCATGGGACCACATTGGGATGCTGATGAAGAAAGACCCTCTACATCAACTAATTTTCCGTCACCGTCCCTGCCCGCCTCTATTGTTGCTAGACCGGCTTCAGCTCCTGGTCCACGTTTTCCTCGCCGTAGTGCCACTATTCCCTCTCGAAAGACACAAGAGACAGTTTGAAAATAACATAGCAAGTAAAGCCAAAACCCAACCAAAGTTGCTCCACAGCCACATCAGGAGGAAAACAGCAGTGAAGGAACAAGTGATGAAACTGAGAAGAGGAGAGAACAGATACACAGAAAATGACAAGGATGTGTGTGAAGAACTCAACAAGAGTTTCCAGGAGGTCTTCACAATAGAACAAGGAGAAGCCCCGGCACTAAATGAGGAGGCAAACCATGCAACCTTGGAGGAATTTGACCTCACCAGTGATGAGGTCAAAAAGTGTCTGCTGGAGCTGGACGTGACAAAGGCTGTTGGGCCTGACAGAATCTCACCATGGATACTAAAGGAAGGTGCAGAAGCACTAAGTGTGCCACTCTCTATGGTTTATAACACGTCACTGGAAACAGGAGAATTACCAGAAAGTTGAAAGACAGCTAACGTAGTCCCAATATACAAGAAGGGTGACAGACAAGAGGAACTGAACTACATACAGGCCAGTTTCCCTAACTTGTATACCATGCAAGGTGATGGAGAAGATCACGAGGAAAAGGTTCGTAGAGCATCTGGAGGGAAATAACTTTGTAACACACCACCAACATGGGTTCAGGGATGGTAAATCGTGCCTCACAGGTTTAATAGAATTCTATGACCAAGCAACACAAACTAGGCAGGAAAGAGAAGGGTGGGCCGACTGCATTTTCCTGGACTGCCAGAAAGCCCTTGACACAGTACCCCATAAAAGGCTGTTAAAAAAGTTGGAGCAATAGGCAGGAGTAAATGGGAAGGTGCTCCAGTGGATAAGGGAGTACTTAAGCAACAAGAAACAGCGAGTAATGGTGAGGGGGGGGAATGATCAGAGTGGCGCGATGTCACCAGCGGAGTCCCACAGGGCTCAGTACTTGGACCCATCCTGTTTCTAACATATGTAAATGATCTTCTGGAGGGTATAGACTCGTTCCTCTCAATGTTTGCTGATGATGCAAAAATTATGAGAAGAATCAAGATGGATGAAGATACACAGAGACTACAGGATGACCTGGACAAACTGGAGGAATGGTCTAGAAAATGGCTGCTAAAGTTCAACTCAGGAAAGTGTAAGGTAATGAAATTAGGCGAAGGGAGCAGGAGGCTGAACACAAAGCATCATCTGGGAGGTGAAATCCTGCAAGAGTCAAATAGAGAGAAAGATCTGGGGGGTTGATATCACCCCGAACCTGTCCCCAGAGGCCCACATCAAAAGAATATCATCAGCGGCATATGCTAGACTGGCCAACATAAGAACTGCTGTTACGACTCTGGGTTCCTCAGATGGAAACCAGAGGTCAATTTGAACTCTAAATAAATTACTTTACATTATTTGATGAGCTTGTTGACGCGCCTTTGTCCCTATCTTCCTTGCCAGACGTAAGACGAATCTTGTTTCTCGCAGAGCATTCAGACTCTTCAGCTTGTTGTGGATTAAGTATAACAGTGTAGTAATTATTAAATATTCTTAGAACTATTAAAGAAACCAGTTTTTACGTCGGTGAAGATTTGTAATGTTTACAAGCTGCACAATCAGCTGTTGTCTCCCAGGTAACAACTGGAGAGAGCTCAGACTGGAGGCTCTCTGAACTGCTGTGTTGAGTCAACACCTCTCCTGTGTTGCTCTGTATCCGTCTCCACTTCCTCCTCCTCTTCCCTTACCTTATCCTATGTCTAGTTTACCAAGCTAAGTACCGTGCTGCATGTTCGTTTTCTGGCATAAGTGTGTAGTAATGTGTATAGGCTACGCTAGTGTTTATATTGCTAAGTTACTGTAAGGGGTCTCAGTGGAACCACGTGTGCTCAAGTGGTACCAAGCTACCTAGAGTCCTTGCTAGTGTCCCTTGCCTAGTAGACTTTACCCTAGCTTGTCCTAATTGTAAAACCTTATATCCTGTCTATGTGGACCAAGGATTTTAATGTAAGATAGTGTGGTAAAGTAATTATTGTTATTGTTATTTAATGTATATAGGGGGTTGTTAAGAGGGTTTAATAAATAAGTTAGTTTTAAAGGAGTATCCATTCTTCTTGTGTAGGGGAGCAGTGATCAAACCTCTAGGCTGACGTATTGACCTTAAGCCACTTATTTAATATTGTTCATGTTCTTATTGGGGGCCGGGCCTATCTGATCTCCCCTAATTTTGATACATCCTGATTCTAACTGCTGGCTCTTCTCTTTAATACTCCATCCCTACCCCCAGCACTTAAATTTATAACAACTGCCTTTAGAAACTTGTGTAAGGAATCGTTCAGGACCCTGTATACCACTTATGTAAGACCAATCCTGGAGTATGAACCTCTAGTATGCAGCTTAACTAGGTATGGAGTCCATACCTAGTTAAACCACAAGACAAAGTTAGAGAAGATTCAGCGGTATGCCACCAGGCTCGTCCCGGAACTGAGAGGAATGAGCTACAAGGAAAGGCTAAAGGAGCTGAACCTCACATCCCTGGAAAACAGAAAAGTAAGGGGAGACATGATAACCACCTACAAAATTCTCAGGGGAATTGACAGGGTGGACAAAGACAAACTCTTCAGCATGGGTGGGACACGAACAAGGGGACACATGTGGAAACTTAGTACCCAGATGAGCAACAGAGACGTTAGAAAGAATTTTTTCAGTGCCAGATTAGATAATAAATGGAATGCACTAGGAAGTGATGTGGTGGAGGCTGACTCCATACACAGTTTCAAATGTAGATATGATAGAGCCCAGTAGGCTCAGGAATCTGTACACCAGTTGATTGACAGACGAGAGGCTGGACCAAAGAGCCAAAGCTCAACCCCCGCATGCACAATTAGGCGAGTACAATTAGATGAGTAAGGTGTTTTTGTGAGGAGTGATGGGACAGATTTTGTTCCACAAATTCCTGTCTTTGATAATTCTTCAGATGTTGGGATTACAGACCTTTTCCCTGATACAGGGTCCCGATATGTGTGAAATGGACTACTTTACCGCATATTTTGATGAGCCGCTCATGGAATATGAGGAAATGAAAAAATATGCGGCTGATCTCATTGATGAGGAGGAGTTATCTGATTTTTCGCGTTTACAGCGATGGAAAGATACGAGTTTAGGTGAAATGTATGTGTTTTTGGCACTGTGCATGAAAAATTGTGTCAAACATGTACTCTCACAAGTCAAGCTTGGCCTCGGGCCGGGCTTGGGGAGTAGAAGAACTCCCAGAACCCCATCAACCAGGTATCAACCAGGACCATTATTGGAGCAAAGACCATACAGTTCCAACACCAATGTTCGGCAAAAATATGTTTTGAGGCAGATTTTCGATAATCCTCAGGTGTCTTCATTTTGCAAATAATGAAGACCAGACTGAAGATGACAGACTTTGGAAGGTAAGGCACATCCTGAATGAACTTATTGGAAAGTACAGGGATTTCTACGTACCAGTTCAGAAGCTGGTGATTGACGAATCCCTTGTGTTTTTCAAAGGATGTCTTGCCTTCAAGCAATATATTCCCTCCAAATGCCACCGATTTGGATTTAAATTCTTTGTATTCTGTGACTGTGAAACAGGAATTGTGTTACAAATGATAATGTAAACGGGTACAAATGTAGACATTCCTGCTAATGACCATCATGGCTTCTCAGGTAGTGTAGTGAAGTCACTGCTTGCACCATATCTGAACAAGGGCCACATATTATACACAGATAACTATTATACCAGTCCCTTGCTAACTAGGTTCTTGATTGATAATAAAACTGGAGTGTGTGGTACAGTGAAGGCAAAACGAAGGGAAATGCCAGTGTTTCACTGCTGTGCAGGTGGGTGACTGCGAGCTAAGAAGAACTGGTGCAATGCTTTCAGTGCGGTGGAAAGACAGGCGTGAAGTGAACATGTTGATCACCATTCACGATGGTACAATGGTGGACAGTGGCAAGGTGAACAGAATAACAAAACAAATAATCTGTAAGCCAGATTGTGTCTTGGACTATAACATCAACATGCGTTTGGTAGATATATGTGATATGATGGTGGGGGCAGTGGAGTGTGTACGGAAAACAGTGAAGTGAACCAAGAAAATGTTTTTCCACCTTGTTGACGTAACAATGCTGAACAGTTACAATATATATCTTGTCAAAACAGGTGGTAAACAAAATTTCCGTGTGTTCAGTTTTACTGTAGTGACACAATTACTAGAAAAGTTTGGCAAAACAATTCCTGGCATACAGAGGCCCATTCTGAATCCAGTATTGCACCATTCTCCCACACCCAGGCTCGCTTTCAAGGATACCTTTGTCACACACAATCTAAGGTATTTACCACCAACTGGAAAGGGTGCAGTAGGCCAGCGTGAGTGCATTGTATGCAAGACAACAACAAAGAATGAACATAAACGTAAAATGGTGATGACTTGGTGCACAGCGTGACAGGTCCCTCTGTGCTATGTCAAACGTTTTGATGAGTATCACAGTCTTAATGACTTGTAAATGTTCAAGACTGGTGCAAAAACATGTATATATCAAATAAGTATAAATAGTGAAAACAAACCATAACAAAGAGTATTTACTGAAAAATAAGACATTTTTGTGCAAATACTTGTGACATTAATGTCAAAACAATATACATTTACAACAGTTGTATTATAATAAATCATCAAATGAGAACATATTGAACCACACCAGTGATAAAAATTGCTGTAAATTACACCAAAGATAATGTAAATATTACAGCGAAAATAAATTTGCAGCAACTTGGGCTCCTTCTCCACCGCGTCTGACTCAGCCCAGGCTCACCACGCTCCAGCGACGATGAAACGTGACGTCATCCCAACTTCTTGGTTCATTTGCGTCATTGGTAAGAACTATTAATTTTTTTTATATTTTTCCCGAGCTCAGGGAACACAAATAAAGGCATTAACCCTTAAACTGCACAACACGTCATAAGAAGGGTTGAGTAACTTGCAATAAATTGTGCATCACGTCATATGACATGATGGAGTACTACGCAAGAATTAAACGGCACTCGGATACACGGGGTTCACCTCACCTTCATCAGGGCTCTTGTAAACAGACGCCATTTAAAAAAAAATCGTGGGCCACATTCGGGTGTGAGGTCCTCAGTACTGAGCGAGTCACCAAGGTTGGCGCACGTACCATGAGCTCACAGCACTACTGTTCAGCTTGTGACTACAGCATCGCCTAAAAATGCCATAACACAGTATATATGTTCATGCTATTATTTAGCGATGATAGTATTACAGAAGACCCCTGACTGTGATAAAAATTACCAGGATTCCGATAATAGCAGGATTGTTGTGATAATTAGGGCTGTAGTGGGAGGAGAAATTTTGGTGGGGAGGGAGGAAGTATTGTCTGCTGACTGTGTGACCACCTTTTACTGCCTTGGCTCATTATAGCAGCTTAGTTGTTCGCTATGGTGAACAAAACATGCATATACTTATATATAACGTCTGTATATAGTGAATAAAAGCAAAAACAGTATGGTGGGACGAGAATGGTGGCGAGTCAGGTGAGGTGAGGTGAGGGAGCGAGTGACAGCCAGTGGCGTGCTGCCACTGGCTACCACTGCCACTCAGCATACCAACTTAGTGGCTTGTTATGGTGAACACAAATGTAGATACTTATATATAACGTGTGTATATATAGCGTATTAACAGCAAAAGGAGTGTGGGAGTGTGGGGGAAAAGCCGTTTTGGTGAGGGACGTGGCGACATCTGCATGATTTGTCATGTTGGTATGGGTGGCCACTATGCTCTTGGGCACTATACTTTGGGCTCTTTGGGGCTCCCCCTTCCCCCCTCCCGGGGAGGGGGGAAGCTGTGCAGACAGCGGCGCGGCGACGTGTGACGTCACACTAGTTTGCTTGTTTTCTGTTGGATAGTTCCATCCACTAGTTTGGCTTTTGGTAGCAATTTTAACCAGAATAGGGGTTTGTTTTGAGGTGCTTACCTTTCTGGGTGCCTGTTCTAGTCGATGGCAGACATAGAATGCTTCCAACCACACGGGGGTTTCTATAGGCAATTGCTCCCCTTGCCTCTCTGAGGGGGCCCGGTTCTGGCCGTCGTCCCCAGTAGGCCTAAGAACTCCATACACATGACTGATGCCAAAGTCTAACATTAGCATATCAGCCTGGGAAAGCTCCAGGGAGCCGACGGGGCTCCACCCAGAAAACAAAGAAAAATCAATTTAGAGACATTGAAATAATCAGGTAATAATATCTTTGTGGCAACCTCCGCCTAACAGCTCGGGCGGAGCAGACCTTGTCTGGCGAGTGCTCTGTCAACGCCTCTTTTTTGCCAGACTTCCCTGCCCTATTGTGGCCAAAATATGCCACCTACGATTTTTTCCCCTGTGATAAGGGAACACAAATGAACACTTTTATGGAACGAAAGAATTTTTTTTTTATTTTGTTGCGCCTGTAGGTGTTGAAGGCGAAAAGGCCCTTAGCGGTGTAAGGGTTAAGGCAATGTGTCACAT